CATTTATATAAGCTGATTATTGGACATAAATTAATTATAAGTGCACACATGAACCAGCTCTAATTTCCTCTTGGTATGACATCAGATTTTCCTGCATCCAGTCGAGTTTACAATCAAATAAGAACCAGGCTGAAAGAACAAAGATGCTGCTTTTCTGTGAATCTGAATACGTTTCTTACACAGTGAAGCTGAAGAATCTGAATTGTTTGCAGCGACTGTTTTCCCACCGTCCACAGTGGGGCTGTATGTGACTGCTCTCAGATGTGTACATCTTGTAGGAATGGAAACGGCAGCCTCTGTAGCACCACGGCTTATTAAAGCCATGAATCAAAGTGAACTACTCTCATTGATTTGCTCTACTCATGGAACCATCTGGGTAAAATTAGCGATGCATAGGTTTTCTCCAGTGAAACCGCTTCATCTCCGCAACTCCACACGCCCGCATACACTTCTTATGTGTACCTCAGCTGGGTGCATTGTTGGTTGCATTGTTTATTTAGTGAGTCTGCAACTATCCCACACGTTTGTGTTTGTTAGTTTTTTTGTTTCATCGCAGGTCTGAGAGAAAAACTATTTTTCAGTGTTTACTTTCTGCTGCAGCTACGAGGCAGCTTAACAAATCCTCCCTCCGTCCCTGTCAGCATTCAGTCTTCTGAAAACTGCACCAAACTCCACAGAAGAGCATTTACGTCATCCAACCGCATTCGTCCTTGAAGCTCGTCCAGTTTAGCTGCATGTGTCTCTGCAGAAATCCTGATAATTGTGCTTGTGTAATTTACAACGTGAACAACTGCTGTTAATCCTTTTTTGTGCTCGTATACATCTTAAAAAACTGTGCAGTCATTTAACATTAACATTGTTTTTGATTATTATTATTAAAATCAATTAAAGCGACATAACTGCTGACAAAGAGCGTTTTAACACCTCTTTGAATTTAATCAACAGAAGCTCCTCATAGTTCGTGTGGATTTAAAACACTAAGTGAGAGGCCCATTAGGAGAAACTGTTTCAGAATGTGTCAGTGTTAATAAGTAGGCTGTATATTATTGACTCAGCTGGATTGAAGAGGAAGCTGTCGGCCAAACCAGCTTTTAAAGTGATTGCAAAGTTCATTTTAGTTCATCGAAGGCATTTGATTGGTTGACTCTTGGATGTTTAACTTCTCGTGTTGAAACCACATTCAACCAACCCAACAGTTAAGTCAAGCCCGCATCCTCCTGCCAGGTTAGAGCTTGTGTAGTATCGGGCTACTCTTCAGTGGCCCTGTGTCTTTTGTTTGAGTTGATACACAAGAGAATATGTGGTGTTTTATAAGTAACTGTTGGTTCTGTTTTACAGGGAGAGATGAGACGATGCAGCCAGCGAAGCCATCCTTCCTCGAGTACTTTGATCAGAAAGAGAAGGAGGCCAACAGTCACAATGACGGAGGACGAAGAGGAGACAACAACGCAGACAACCGCAAACTGCCTGGTGAAGGAGATCTCGAAGTGGTGAGTTTTTATCAACTGTAGCTGTGTCCCGATTCCGTGGGACGCTGCTGCTTTTGAAATCATTTAAGTCAAGTTTATTTATTCTATTTCACTTTTCAGTGTTGATGAGGTTTGAGCGTTGTGATAGTTTGATGGTTGGTGGGATTTCTCGCTGTAACCTCCGATCAGTGTGTTGATGCAAGACGTAGTCGGAACTGTGAAATGTAGAAACAACAACCTGCAGAGCTGCTTTTTTTTTCTCTACCACGGCTGCATTCATTTCAGTTTTCTCTGTGTTTCACGCAAATGTTGGGATGTATAAAAACAAAGTTGAAGGGAGAATGTGCAAACTTTAACCCATGCATATGCACATTTTGCTAAATGGACACATAAAGCATGTTCAGCCAAAAGATTTTTAAAGTATTTCTAAACCCTCCGTAAGTAATTTTAGATATCTATTTTACGTTTATGACTTTCTGCTGCAAACACACTTCAATATCCAAAATATGATATTTTTTATGGCATCAACAGGATCATACAAATCAATCTCCAACGGTGAGTTTGGAGCCGCCCGTCAATTTTCAGGGGGTTTAATAATTTATATTCAGAGTCTGCTAATGTTTTCAAATAATTTAACAGGCCTTTTTTACAATATGTAATTTCATTGGTATATTACCTTCAGTTTTGTTGATATAAATCGTGGGTGTGATGTACTCGGCTCGATAAACTCACCTCTCTAAGTTCTGAGTGCCTTTAAGTTTCCGGGCAGCTGCAGCGAGAAGCCGAGGCTGTTTGTCTCGCTCCAGGACACTTAAGCAGGACAAATGGCTGCTGCTGGAATTAAATATTAAATATGTGACCTTTTTAAATACGAGGTGGTTTCTCTCAGCAGACCACAGTGCTGCCTGCTCAGATTCAGATATTCAGAGTACACCGATGCGTCTGATTAATACAGAGGAACCATTTCTCCAGTAATACTCATCAGCAGCTGAGAAATGAGGCTAAAACACTGAGAGAGGTTGAATCATGTGTCGACGTATCAGTGTCATTCGACGTCTGAATAAAAGAACAAAGGTATCGTGTGTGTGTGTGTGTGTGTTTTCTGTGTGTAGTGTGTTACACGATGAAGCTATTGAGACGCAGATCTGTGCCAGTGTGCATTCAATGACGTTACGCTAACTGACAATGACACATAACCGCCGGCTGACCCCGATTCTCACTCTCCTGAGGGATGAGTCTTATCCAGCACTTCATCTGGATTTAAAGAAAGAGTGAATGGTGAAATGATGAAGAATCGTTCTGAAGACGCTGCAGTTCGCAGGATTCCCATGCATCCTGGACATCGTTAGAGGTAGAGCGGAGTCAGTTTTTGTCCACTTCATCAAACACCCTGCATCACTTAAAACGTGTTCATGTGTCAACTCTACACCAACAGTTGTGTTACATCGAGTCTTTGTCACCAATTTGTAGCCCTGAAGAACTGTGATATGCAGAGACACCAGGTTATAATATCACCTCTAAGAAAATAAATACATCTCTGTGTTATTACAACATTCACACTTTGTGGCACTGAGAATAAAATCTCACACTCGAGGGGATTTATTTTTCCATTAGAATTTCAAATGTGAGGATAAATCGGCTCATTTCTTCTTGAGCCTGAAGACTTTGTGGCGGCCGGTTGACAGCGTCGTGTTAATTTTAGATCTGTCTACTTTGCTATTTTTATACTTTGCTGCTAAGATGTTGTTTTCAGAGGCCGGGACAGGAAGCCGATCACAGGTTGGCTGGTTGTAGTTTACACATGCAGACTTATTCCTTTCTTGAATTGAATTCTGTTGCGTAAGGAGACGATTCATTTGTCTGGCTTTTGTCTGAAATGTGAATTTCACTCCAGGATCAAATGACTCTGCGGTAGACACAGCAATGATTGAAACACCGCATCCGGGTGAAGGTGCTCATTTGCTCCAGGAGCCAATCGCCTCTTTTTAACGGGTTTACCACTAACCTGCTAATTCTGGTGTAAAAGATGTGTAATTGTACATCCAGACTTTATATATGATCACAGATAAAGATCACAATACTTCTGTCAGTATAGCTGAAGTCCCACGTTAATGTTCTGTGTTTTGCCGGGACATGCGTTGTTTTTTCAGTGTCCAGTGACGCCGCTGGTCAAATGTCAAACTCACGGCCTCAGAACAGCAGCTCGCGACCCAATGGGTGACGTCACAGTGGGTTGATACTTGAGGAGCTGCAGCAATGGACAGTACGAGAAAAACAAAACCCAGCTGAACATGATCAACCTGAATATGAGCAGACTCATACGTCTGCTTCTTATATTTATCATATTTATCATTTCACCTGTAGTTTGACAATGCAGCACAGGACACGTGGTGTTAAAGCACAAACCTTCATTTTTCACGAGGAGCGGGCGTAGAACAACCAATCCCCCCCCTCATTGCTTCTCTCCGCCCTAACCCCCTTTTCTCTATTTTTATCCTTCTTCTTATTGGTTTTCTCGACTCCCGTCTCTCTTCCTTTCTTCCGTCCCTCCTCAGAACACATCTTATCAAACAGGTCACGAGAGAAGGTCAAATCACACCCGTCAACGGTTGCATCTTCTGTGTCGGCAGTGTCGTTGAGTTTAACGGTTGAATTGTAGATACAGAGGAAGTCACGTGTGTTTCAGAAGTGATTTCAAACTGACTCTGAAACCCTGAACAGAACTTGTTCCTGAGACCACGCTGGTGCAAGCTGAGGTGAAACAGACCTGAGTTCAGTCTGATGTCTTTAAATAAAACAGTTTTAAAACTGTGAAATCCAATACTTCCTCTTTTGCTGTGTTTGAATCCTTTATCGTGTGATTATTTGTCCAAATTCTCATCTATGATTTCCCTTCACTCGGCAGAATCGTCTTGTAACTGTTGGTTCCTCAGTTTAACCGAAACTAAAACCTTTTCAAACCTGCAATAACACGAGAAACGAGCTGAAAACGCAACAGCAGTTCACGTTGTAATGGAAAACTTCTAAGCAACCTCTGTGGATTTGGGGGAAGTGTTCGCGTCCACTGAAAAAATTGATTTCAGATAAGTTTGCAGATGAAAACCTTCAGAAGATCTGCGGGAACCTGATCCTTAATTTATATAAATGTTCTGATTGTAGCCTTTAAAAAACAAATGTGAAGTGACAAAACATTCACTATTTTTCTTCCATTCAAAAATAAACCTCGCTTCTGCACTCTTTCATTTCAGTTTTTTTATTTATTCCAGAGGTCTTCCCTGTAGTTTTGTTGGATCAGGTCGTGTGTTTGTGAAACAGAGAGCGAGCATGAGAGCAGAGCGTTTGTCAGCTGTTAGCTCAAATAGTAAATGTTTAATGACGTTAAGTGTTTCTCTGCAGTGGTCGGACATAACGCTGCAGCTACAGTCCGCAGGAACCACAGTCCTATAGTGGCAACAATAAAAAAAATATATATTCTCAGAAGGAATATTAATCCTTTCTTAAAAGATTCATGTTTGTGTTTGACTTTGTGTTCGTTTGCATCAGAACAATTTACCTGGTAGGTTCATTCTGTGGAATATTATAATTATATTTATTGATAAACCCTAAAAACTGGTATCAGCACCAGTTTGAAAGGTTTGATGTTTTTTATGTGGTGGACAAATGATATTATGCTGCAGAAGCTTCTCTGGATGTTTTAACGTTTGAGAGTTGTATCGATCACTGAGGGAACATTTAATGAATCAGGAGCTTTAAGAACGATTTGGGTTTTACTTTGACCCTGGTGTCGTCCAGTCGTATGACCGTCCATCCGCTCCTCGCGGTTATCTGTCCAGTGGAGTAGGACGCCAGTGTTATTTTAGCTGCATTGATTGTGGGTAATAAATAGCCTGAGAGCGAAGTGCTGCTGGTAAAAGCCAAGGGGAGGAGGGGGAGCCCCCCGGGGAGAAGCCGAAGCTCCAGGTCCCGATCTGAGGTCCACAACACAGACAGAGGCAGATTAAATAAAGGTCAATAACTGAAGCATTTTGAAAGCTACTGAAATAGATTCACTCATCAGACTCCTTGGGTTAGCGCTGCCACGCGTGAGATATTTTTAGGTTTCGGTAAAGATTTTCTTAAGTGTTCATTAATGGACTTGGTAGCCATTGATCTGCGGGATTCAAGTCATGAAATCCTCCGTCGGCACAGAGGACGAGTCTTTAAGTCCAGAAGGTCTGTCAGTGTGGAAACCTCTCACACCACTGCTGCTCGCTGACACAATAAGAGACTCAGTGAATTATTTAAGTTCAATATAAGAACCGTAATATAACATAACCTTTATTTATGCAGCAATTATCTTCAAATTAAATAAAGATTAAACGAGAGCCGACAGAATTAGCACCTTTACAAAAACTTAAATTTCTCAGCCTCTGACGCAGAAAGAGACATGAAGTAAAAAACATTTATTTTCATTTCATTTGTACATCATTGCCTTTTTAAAAAAAATCTTTTTCATTCTTAGTTTCTTCAAAGAAATCTGCTTCAATATTCTCCCTTGTTTAGCTCGTCAGCCATCATCTGAAAAGCGACTTTAAAAACAGTTTTACTGGCTGAGACTGCTAACAAACAAACAAATTACATTTCCCATAATGCATTTCATCAATCCCATGTCTCGAAGCATCATTTTGAGCATCAGGCTTCACACTGAAACGTCTGTTTTGTAGATTTGTTGAGCAACAAACGATGTACATGATATACACATCATGTGATGTGTGTGAGATTATTTCAGAAAGAGCTGAACAAGTAAAAAGTGTGAATGTAGTCGTCTGATTAAAGTCTCACCTGTGAGAGTAAAGAGAAAACCACACTGTGACTTTATAAACTTCAGACTGTTGGACTGTCTGATGTGTCGCGTTGTGTCTTTGTTCAGGTGAGCACGTGGTCGGTGGAGGAGCTGCGGCTCAGACTCGCCTCTCTGGACCCTCAGATGGAGCAGGAGATCGAGGAGATCCGTCAGCGCTACCAGGCCAAGAGGCAGCCCATCGTGGACGCCATCGAGGCCAAAAAGCGGCGGCAGCAGAACTTCTGAGGAGCCGTTCGAGCTCGTCACTACAGCAACTGGATGTTTCTCTCTTCCTCTGCAGCACAGGATGCTTCTCTCTTTGTAACTGGTCATTTGACTGGATGATCGTTAAACTGAGACCTGAACGACAGAAGCACTTCCCCTGAGCTGTGTGACAGATGATTACGTTTGATTTGAAACACAGATCTTGTTTCTCTCCCTTTGAGACGACAGACGAGAGTTTTGATGTCATCATCAGCTGATCTGCATCCTTGAGTGTCTTTCTGCTTTTTTTTTTTTCTTTCTCGAGCTCGTCTGTGCTGATTGTGAAGAACCACTGCCCATCTCCAGGGGGGCACGTGGTCATTGTAGCTGCAGTTTATTTGAGGTACGCTTCTTTTATTTCTGTCCTTCTTCAAACAACGATGCTGCTCCACTTCTCTGAGTTTCCACTCTGGATTGTAAAGGTCTAGAAATTGATGTTATGCTTTAGAAATTTTGATAATGAAAATACTTGAGAATCCTTGGTTTGTTCCAGCCTTCATCAGGTTCATTGTTCTAAACTTTAAAACTTCTCACTTTTAAAGTTGCCTATGAAACCTTGTTTTCTGTATCAGGTACATTTCTAGGTTTACATTTTTTAATCTTTTGCCTTAAAACAAAATGTCGTTATTTTTATTTTTCCCGTTTCTGCTCCTTGACTTGAACCCGTCCAATCACCAGTGAGAGTTCAATATAAACATTTAATAAATGGATTGTAAACAAAAATAATGTCGTTGTAAACAGACTTTTTAAAAAAACAAAAAGATTAGAAATAAATTACTTATTTATTCTCATACATTCAATATCTGTTCATACAGTCGTGTGTCCACAGGAGGAGTAATAGTTGTTAACAGATCATTCGCATCTACATAGAACTACATTATAATGTGTTATAATTCAATTTATTACATGTTTACATATGACATATAAATTCTAGCTGTGGGGACGAGCAGATGATAAACGATTTGGAGCCACAGTATCAAGATCGATGCTTTTTCATTGACATTCAGACTTGAATTTAAATTTCTAATGTTCGTATCATGCTGCAGACTCAACGTCCTGAACGTTAGTTTATGCAGCAAAATGTTTGGAAGTGAATTTGATCAGATGATAACTTTTCCATTGGTGTTTTTACTCCAACATCTTTCTCTTCGTCAGTAAAAGACCTGGGCGGACATATTTATGGCACAGATTCAACAAAGCTTTTATTTTGTGGGTTAAATATTTTTAATCTGGCACAGTGGACTCAATGCTGGCGTCCACCCAGGTCTGATCTTCTAACATTCCTCAGAGCAGCTCGGCCGCTTCAGACGTTTCTCATCGTCCAGCACAGAAGACAATAAAGGGATGAGTTATATTTTTGTATGTAGGTTTAATGGTTACACGGTCAGAGAACAGATTTGATCACAGACGTGTGATTCAGAGTAAAAACTTCTCAGGTCATAAACTCCTCAGGGGTGTGAAATAATGACGAGAGATTACTGTAGATTTTCCGGAGTCGTGTCTGTATTATGACTCCGCTCTGTTTGTATATTGTGACGAGTTTGACCGGTTGAAGGTTTGAGACACTTCTCAGCAGGTTGTTGCTTTTAAAAAAACTCCTCCGCTGGATTCTCTGTCTTTTTTCCTTTTGTGTTACAAGCTACAGCGAAGTATCAGGGCCAAGCCGAGAGATTCAGAGAATGACTTCGTAATATTATGATAATAAAGTTGAAAATGAAGAGAAAACTGTTGAAATTTTACAATAATAAAGTATTGATACTAAAGAGGAGTAAGTTGTAATTTTAGAAGAATAAAAATTGATATTACAGGCATTTGTTTTCTTCAGTATGGCCCTTATACTCCGTTGTGATGAGCAAAGAACGACGGATTTGATTTCCTGCCTCATCTTGCCATGTTTTCTGTGCGCTGCTGTTTTTGAAGATCTCAACATAGAAATGTTTTTTTCTGACTTTATTTTTAGCTGAAATAAAAACAACTGAGTTTGATTTGGTGCTCACAGTGAACTGTAGTGACGCTTCAGAGGTTTAATAAGTTTAATGAGTCGTAATCACTGGACAACAGAGACAGACAGGAAACTGTTTTCTGCCTTTTTTTAAACGTATAAACACGTTATTGTTGTAAATACACGTCTGAACGCATCTGTTTGTTCATTTAACACCTGCAGCAAAAAGAGTTTTAAACTGCAGCAGCTTCTGAGAATCAGTCAAATGCTTGATTTGTTTGAGTCTGACACATCTGGAAAACAACTGGTATTTTAACATTTTGGTTCATTATTTTAAATAACGTGTTGTTCTGTTATCAGCTTTGTTTTCAGGTAAAGTGTGAAATGTTCATATTCAGATCGTCGTTGGCTGCAATATTTAACTTGAGTCGAGACTCGGAGGTGACAGTGGAGTCGCTCTGAGTCGTCGCTGCCTCTTTGTTTTTCAGGTTTGTTAATGATCTGCTGTTCAGTCTCAGTTTCACTCGCTCTCTGTTTCTGATGTTTCTGAAGTTGATCTGCCTTAAAGAACGATGCAGTGCAAGTTTGAGATCACTGATGTTTGTTTGCTCGGCTAATAAAGAAAAACTACGGAAACGTGCGACAGTTGTGTTTTTGTGTCTCAGAGTTCAGTTCTGGACTCTTTCCACCTGCTCTCACTTCTTTACTTCTTCTGATCCTGATCGTAGAACCAATCGACTGATGGCTCTGTCGTCTAAAAGCTTTCTCCTGTCCCCTCACATCCATCACACGCAAACTTTCCTTTTTTCAGGCACAGCTCGTTTCCTTGGTCTTGTTTCTTCTCCGTGTTGAAACTTCTGTCAGCTACGAATCTGATCTCCCCCCTTCACTGTGCCTGACTGTGTGTGTGTGTGTGTGTGTGTGTGTGTGTGTGTGTGTTCATCCATATTCACAAATCATTGTTTCTCTGAGGGTAAAAACGCAACGACATTTCACAAAACACAAAAACATATCAGATTACGGAAAGGGTAGGGACCATGGGGACAACACTTCTTGTTTGTGATTGGACGAACCCAAGTCTGGCGACATGTCATTTCCTGTTTCTACTCTCAGCAGCGTCCTTGTGGGAATTTTAAACATAGTTTGAAAGGATGGAAGAGGAGCTTGAATTGAACAGAGAGTATTTTAACAAAGGACATACATATGATGTTAGTCGCGATATGCTCTCGACCGTGGGACTCACAGGTCAATAATGTAATAACGTCCAATAATACCTGCCAATAACGCAATAACACAAAAACTGCAAAATAATCTTTTATTTCCAAGAAATGCAGTCCTGTTTATGTTTTATTACATTATCGGATAGCTATTTTTTTAATGCTACGCCAATAACGTAACGTAGCAAATGTTATTACATTAATGGCTTTATTACATTCAAAACGGCCAAAATTATTACGTTATCGGCAGGTATTACATTATTGGTTGCTACAAGCCTACTCGTATATTTTGCTTATTTTTCTGTTTTTAAAACATAGGTAACGTATTATTGCAGTCTGGCATCATTGCTTTTGGATCTAAGTAGTTCCTCCACAACCGGTAAAAGCAAATAGCCTACTGCAGCCAGATATCGCCATGCCAAACGGTTTTAATATGTCATATCCGTCTACATGCCACAAATAATTAGGACCCATAGAATGGCCCGTGCGTCTAATAAACCTACGACGTGTCCGCGACAAGGTTCCGCGTGGATTCAGTTCACGAAGCATCCGCATTACCGTCTCCCTTTTCACACACAGGCCATGTTTCTGTTTTAAAGTGAGCCACATTGTTCTGTACCCAAACATCTGTCCAGGTCTGCGCAGCTCTGATAAAATGGCCCTTCTGACTTCAGTTAGCGAACAGCAGCCGCCCCGTCTCCTCAGTCCTAAATCTTTCAGTCGTGCCTTCAGAGTCCCGCGGGACATTTTAATGCCATGATGGGTCGAGAGCATATCGCGACTAACATCATATGTATGTCATTTGTTAAAATACTCTCTTATCAATTCAAGCTCCTCTTCCATCCTTTCAAACTATGTTTAACATTCCCACAAGGACTCTGCTGAGAGTAGAAAGAGGAAATGACATGTCAGGGTCGTCCAATCACGAACAAGTGTTGTCTCCATGGTCCGTACCCTTTCCGTAATCTGAAATGTTTTTGCGTTTTCTGAAATGTTGTTGCGGTTTGACCCTCAGGGCCACCGTACATAGGTCTTAACAAGGTGTGAAGTCCTCTGTCCTTAGCCCTCGGCAAGACCGAGGAATAACTACCAAGAAAAAGGGTTTTCACGACAGGACATTTTCCAAACTGGTAAGATTTGATGAGGTTCACAAACAAAACTGAAATTGTGTGGTTTATGCAGTAACATCAGATGATTGTGTCAGATGGATGTCATGGGTCTGAAAGCAGGATCCCCACAACCCCAACCTACTCTAGTGACACCTTAACTTTTTCTATGAAGTAACTCACTACGGTTGGAACTGATTCTGTTGAGTGATTAGCCCTAAATCTGAACTGCTGGGTGCAGGGGGGAGGAGCTATTGTTTAAATAAGTAATGATTTGTTTGGCAACAATTTTTTCAAATCCATTCCACACTATGGGTCAGATACTGATGGGCCTGTAGCTGTTGGTAGAAGTGCTGGTTCGTTGGTAGCGATGGTGCGTATATTGCTTTGCTGGACTTGGTCACTCCAGGCTATGGTGGCCACTGACTCATCAAACAGTTGGCTTTGTTACTGTATAGTTTTGACCAGTTTGTTTATCAGACCCCAAATAACTTTTGAGTTACAAGCAGAATTTTCAATGATTGTGATGATGTCTGCCTACGTTTCTCTCAGTTCTCTTATTACCCTGTTTGTTAGCATTGTAAATGTATCAGATCTTATTTTTAGGGCATTGTCCCATCCTGTCATTACTTTGTGAGCATTATAAGAGTCGATTTCATGTTTGTGTTTCATCTTAATTGAAAATTCACTGATAATAGATTGTAATTATTCTTTAAAGTTTTGACTTTTATAAAGATAAATAGAATTGAGAGAAAGTTAAAGTTGTATCAATAGTATAGTAGAGTATTACAGCTAATTTAATTTCTGTAAATTTAAACATTGGTGTGAATCAACAGAGGTGCTGTGCTACTGGTATATAAAAGAAAATAGATACTAAGTTTAAAATTTTTATATTTACTTTTAATTTGAAAGTTTCCATCATCCCAGGATTGTACTTGACTGGTCTCATCCAGTGATGATAACTCCAAAGCCATTACCTGCTCCATCAAACAGTCTTGTCAACAACTGCTGTAGCATAATTCAAAACATGTGCAGCATTATACATAGCTGTAGCAACTTGGGGTCCAATGTCATCCTCTTCTTTTTCATCATTGAACACGGCTGGCACACTGGTCGTATCCAGTGGGGCTGTTAAATCCAATAGAGCCACTACAGTTTCAAACACAGTTTGAGCAGGATTGGCCTCATGCAGTGCTACTGCAGCTTTGTTTATAGCGAGTGCAGCATTGTACCAAGTTTCATCAATATTGTGCGCAGCTGTAGCACTGGTCGAATCCAATGCTAGTAATACTTTGTGCAAAGCATCTGCAGCACTGCACAAATTTACAACCACGTTGAGCACAGCTGAAGCACTGGTCTCATCCTGTAGAGCTGTAGCTCCGATGGCAGCCACTGCAGTGTCAAACACAGCTACATCAGAACCGGTCTGGTGCAGTGCTACTGAGGAGATGTACACAGCTTCTGCAGCTTTGAACAAACTTTCACAAATGTTATGCACAGCTGCAGCACTGGCCTCTTCCGGTGGTGGTGCAGTGCCTGACAAAATAGAGGAGGGGCAGGTCCTTATCAGTTCTGCTGTAGCATCATTCACAGCGTGTGCAGCGTTAAGCAAAGCTGGAGCAACTTGGGAGGCAGCTGCAGTACTGGTCGTATCCACTGGTGCTGCAACGTCTAACACAGCTGCAGCAGGTCCAACCTCATCCTCTTCTTTTTCATAGTTGAACAGGGCTGGCGCACTGGTTGTATCCAGTAGGGCTGTTTCATCCAATAGAGCCGCTACAGTTGCTAACACAGTTTGAGCAGGATTGGCCTCATGCAGTGCTACTGCAGCTTTGTTTATAGCGAGTGCAGCATTGTACAGAGTTTCATCAATATTGCGTGCAGCTGTAGCACTGGTCGAATCCAATGCTAGTGAGACTTTGTGCAAAGCATCTGCAGCACTGCACAAATTTACAGCCACGTTGAGCACAGCTGCAGCACTGGCCTCTTCCGGTGGTGGTGCAGTGCCTGACAAAATAGAGGAGGGGCAGGTCCTTATCAGTTCTTCTGTAGCATCATTCACAGCGTGTGCAGCGCTAAGCAAAATTGTAGCAACTTGGGATGCAGCTGCAGTACTGGTCGTATCCACTGGTGCTGCAACGTCTAACACAGCTGCAGCAGGTCCAACCTCATCCTCTTCTTTTTCATCATTGGACAGTGTTGCCCCACTGGTCGTATCCAGTGGTGCTGCAACGTGCACAGCTGCAGCAGGTCCAAGCTCAACCTGTTCTTCTTTATCGAAAACAGCTGCAAGCTCTGACTCTGCAGTGGCCAATGGATTAGCCTCTGCCTCTTCAACGCTAGTTTCTGATTCAGGCATTTCAGTGGTTACCATGGGTGCTGAATTGTTATCCTCATCAATATGTACATTGCTCTCTCCAGGTGGGAGAAAATAGTCAAATAGACTCCTCATAGTTTTAGTGACTATGGTGCCTACAAGGAAACCAAGGATCAAGAAGGGCATGTTGCTGGGTTTTCTTCCTTTTCGAATATGTGTGGATCGGAATGAATACAAATCTGCTTCTCTTGTTTTGTGGCTATGTGATGAGATTCTGTTCAGTTTTACGGTGGGTGGCCTCGTGATCAAAGGTCAAAGGTAATCATGTATCAAAGGCATGACTGGAATGATCTGAGGCATGGAGTCAAAGGCAAGGTGATGTCATGTTTTTCTTCTATCTTATACAAAGAAAAACACTGACTTTGATGTTTAATTCAATTGCAGCCCCCCCCCACTGTTTTTTTTGGGGGGTTAGGGTTAGGGTGTTAGGGTTAGGGTTGGGGGGGGGCTGCAATTTGGGGGGGGTGAAGTAATGAAGTACAGCAATAGATAGCGGTGATGCACCTTGATGTTGGTGGCCACCCACCATTAAACCTGAACAAATAAGAAGAAGATGCAATATTATTACGCACATTATAGGTTCAGTATCCTTGTACCGTGCCGGACTATCTTGACAGAGTGTCATCCCTCCCCGCTGACCTGCACTCACCTTAACGAGGCGCACAGCCATGACATAAGGGTTAAATTTGACTGGGAAAAAAATCCTGATTTGTGATCTGACACCATCGATCAATAACTACATTAAATGTGATTGTGTAGCAACAATGTGCTTGATCAATATCAGCACCAACATTGACCTTATTGAGGTGATTTCATAACAGCCAAATGTGACTGATCCACATTAAATACAATTTGCTCGGTCAATATTATACTATTAAGTGTTTCTGCTAAATTCATTGAGTCATTACAAACTGCTGACTCAGTTTTCAGTGCCACAGTA